CGGTCTCTCCCACTTCCCATTACCACCTATGCTGGCCCCTTCCTCATGCTCTCTACTTTACATCCGTGCCTGCACCTCACAAGGGGTTCAGTAAACACAAGTTGAATCCTAAGTCACATCTGAGTACTTCCATTGACTTCACTTTTCCTCTGTTTCTTTGTTTCATGGCTCTTCACGCTGATAATACACGTCACTAAGGTGAATAATGCAGGCCTGACTCTTCATGATAAAAGTATTACTCCTCGTCTGTCAAATGGCTCCCGGTATAATTCATCGCTTTCTCTCTCCTTCTCCACCTCCCAAGTCGAATGCCACCCTCCGGCGGATGACAGTTTGCACAGCCAGAATGTGAATGGATGAACAGGATGGCTGTGGGTGAGGTGAGAAGAGGGAGGCCGCGGTTGGGGTGGAAGGTGAGGGAAGCCTGTCCCTCACTGTCTCTGCAACTGCCTTCCTGCTGGGCTGGGGTCCGGCCAGGGCTGTGGCGGGTGCCGTCTGCAGGAGACAGCAGCACACAGGGCACACAATTCATGCTGTCACTGGGCCCACGTGCCCCATCATGGCCTCAGTGAATCCCTCACACTAGGCTAGTGGACGTCGAGAGACTTGGAAGATGTGCAGAGAGGCCAGAGACGCCAGAGCTGGGCATGCAGAAGGGCTTGGTGTGGTGGATGCAGAGGGCTGGGGAGCAGGGTTGAGCAATGAGTTTAATGAACCTGTGACATTGCACTGAGAGGAGCCCCTGCCTTTCGGCTCACATCTGGATATCCAAAATGCACCTAACAGTGTGCAAAGCCTTTTAAACATGCTTTCTCAGCTGGAACGACTCGGTGAGGCAGGTAAGGTAGATCAGTTACATTTTATAGAAGAGCAAATGGAGTCTAAGTAAGGTTTAGTGACTTTCCCCAGAACAGACACCTACTAACTGTCCCTCTAAACTAAAACCCAGAGGTGACCCCTCAAGAGCACCGCTGTGGGCAACCTTGCACACCACACGGTGCCTGCCTTCCTCCCTTGGAGCACCCTGTGTGGACCAGCGGATGCATCTGATGGAGCCTGTGAGTCATCACTACATGGCGTCTGACTCTGGGGCTGACTCTTGTTATGAAAACTGCTCAGTTGGCTGGAGTGGTCTTCCTGTGGGTTCAGAGTCACTCTCTTAGCCTCTTGTCCTCCTGCTGATCTCTGGGCTTTGAGATTTTAATGACATGTTCTTCTTCCTCCTCCCAGCCTTCCTGGGGAAGTGTGGGCAAGAGACCAACAGAGAAAAAGGAGCTCTCCCTGGAGTTTCACCAGCTCCCAGTGACTGCATTAAATAGCCTTCCACAGAGCAGCCTTCTGCTAAGCAACTTTACAGACAGGAGCCTCCGGTAACGCACAGCGGGGAAAGCAGGGGGAAATGGGGCGCTGGGTTAGAGGAGAGGGGAGGGAAACAGACAGCAAGGAGGATACTGACCTTGCAACAAAGCTGAGCTTGTGGGCTCATTTAGTTCTAAATCGGGTGAGGGACACACAGGAGAGAAAAATGAAAACAAACACATATATTATATACAGTAGCTATATATTTGTCATATATAGTTTGTATCCTCCCCTTACAAACATTGCTGGAGGAATGGATAAATCAAAGAAGACACACAAACCAAAGGTGGTAGGATGAGGTGCAGCAAGAGAAACATTAAATGCTTCATGTTTCTGTACTTGGATGCAATGTTAGGAAGTACGGAGGTGGCCACTCCCTACATTTTCCAGTGCAGACGCCTTCACTCTTAGCTTGTGCTGGGCTGGGGTACTGGTCTGATAACCAAGGACCAAATCCCCTTTCCAGATGAGGTGTCACGCTCACATCCCCAATCCTATTGCTTCACCTTGGGAGGTGAGGTTCAGGAATTTCTGACCCCATGGCACCGCGGTAGAAACAAGGTCCCTTGGAACCACATGACTCAAGAGTATGGGAGCAGAACTCTCAGAGTCTCCTGCAGGTCCTGCAGTCTTAGAGATCAGGTGCTCAGAGCCCTGTTGGTTTGTGATGGGAAGGACTACGCTATCCCCATTTGGCTTAAGTACTCCCAAAGATACTGACCTTGCGAGTCTCCTGCATCAGAATTTCTCAGTTTTTAATGTCTGGGAGGCATGGAGAGGGGGTACAGTTTATGCACAAGTTGGTGGCAAAATAATGATAACGGAGCTGGCTTTCTGTAATGCTACAGGACAAGGAAGTTCACCTAGATGTTCGTATATTGACATAAAGTAAACATTGCTTTCCAACCTGCCCTTAATGGAAAATCCCCCAATGAATTTGTATTTGTCAAAAGGCCTCATCGACGGTGAGACTCTGTAACGAGCTGAGGAGCCTCGATAACATCTGCACTAGCCTTGGCTGGAGCCAGTCAGTTGGAAACACTTCTCACACATTGTTGGGATTTTACTAGCTCCACGGAGCTGGGGCACCCGTGCAGCATTTCTGTGATGGGCTTCTCAGAAACGGCCTTTCAACTGAATAACTGAACTGGTTTCTGATCGACCACATTTGGAAAATGCTGCAAACTTTATCTCGCTCTTAGAGATTTAGCATGCTAAGGCTCTGAGACCTCCTGCATTAAAGAACATCCCCGCATGAGCTCCACTTAAACTCATTTGAATACATACTATCCATCCCTTTTAGTGTGCTTTGTATTTAGAGTACTCTGGACTGTAGAGAGCTGGCAATGGTGGGGACATCCCAAAGGATGCGCAGGGTGAATGCTGACATTCATGGGGGATGGGGAGGGTGGCTGGGGGGACACGGGAGGTCTAATTGCCAAGCCTGGGACTGCTGAAAAGAGCCTATTTATGACATATGCTTCACGGTCACGAACACCAGCTATTTCACTCTTTAAAAAAGTTTTCTGCTTTTCCCTATTCTCCTCTTGAGATGTCTTAAGGGGAAGAGGCCAGGGAATCAGACGGTAGTGACAAAGCTGGTGGCAAAGCCATGTCATGCGTCCAGATCAGAAGAGAGAAGAGGTCAGAGCAGGAGGAAGACTCTGCGACAGGGAGGAGTGCTCTGGGAGGAGGCAGGACTCGGGGGGAGGTGGAGAGGAAGGTGCGGGAGAGCCTGAGGCTTGCGAGGCGAGGGACACGGGGGGCGTTCCTTTCTAGTCCTGGCCCTCTGTTCCTACAGACAGACACCTGCCAGAAAGCTGAAAAGGCCTGGTAAATGTGAGGGGCACTTAGAACCATCCCTGAGTGACGGATGCCAGACAGATCAATCACTCTAATCGCAGCTCTGCCCCTTCTGAGCTGCCAGCTCCAGGATCAAGGGCAGCCTTCCCCTTCCCAACCCGTCTGGATAAAGCTGGGCTTTATTTTATGTGCTGGGCAGAAGGTGGGAGGATGTGATTTGGAAGCAGAGGTGGCACAGTGGAGCAGCGCACAACTCTGCATGGAGCAGGGATGAGGCTGAGGCCATGGAGGCTGTGGGATTATCTGAGAGTACTCAGAATAAGGGAATTTATGTTCTTGCCAATTGCCTGCCTCATTCTCCCCTGTCCTCCCCACCACGTGCGAGAGTGCTTGCTGACATTGGGGACTGGGAGAACGGATTTGAAACATCCTAAGATCACTGAACTTGGTGGGGTATGGAGGGATTTGCTCAAAGGGCCACCAGAAATTAATCCTGTGGCCTCTGATCTGCATCCACCAAGGGACGACAGCCATGGATCGATGCCTGGAGTCCCACCTGATGGAACAGTGGGGAACACAGGCTCACAGAGAGGCAGGGGGCTGGGGGTCTGCAAGGGAGCTTGTGTACTTGCTTCTGGCACCAGTACTGCAGCCAGACATGTAATAAAGGGATGACGTCTTCATGTCCCAGTAGCTGCAGGAAGTTTCAGAAAAGGGTATATGTTATGCTAAACCAGTGAGCAAAGTATTAAAACAGTAAACATCCCTCTTTGGGCTCTTAACTATTTTACCAAATTATAATCCCCATCATCAGTTTAAGAGATATCACTGAGGCAAAAAAAATAAATAAATGTCATTTTCAGCATCCCAAAGTCCTTTTCTCCTGTCTCAGTATTTTTCCGATTATAGAATGAAACACGAACATTCTTTTTCATTTTTCCTCTCCGCCCCCAGTATCTACTTACTTTCATACACGCACTAGTTTTCTGTCTCTCTGTCCCCCTCGCAGTCCATCTGACTCTCTTCACTCACCCCTGCCTAACTCCCCACCCTCCTCCCAGCTCCTCCCCTCCACGTGACCCATCCCCTCTTCACACACGCTGTTCCTTCACGGCCCAGCTCACGACACCGTCTCACCAAATAGTGTGATGCTGGCATTGGTGTGGCCCAACTTGTTGGAGGCCA